AAATTTGGGGTGAAGTCTTAGTCATCGTGTGACTTTGGGTAATTACTCAGTATGCCTTACTGAATGGGGATGGTAACTGAGCCTGTTACATAGACTGACTGTAAGGCTGAAGCGACACAGTGTTCAGCAGTGTCAGCCGCGAGCGCATGCGTAGTGCCGTGTCCCCTGAGGCTCCTTCATCCCCACATGTGGCAGCCCACCGAGCAACCACAGAACTCAGCAGTGGCTAACTTGATGCTGCCACTCCCCAGAGGGTGGGCCCCACCCTTGCCTGTCCTTTTCAACAGCCCACACCAGAGCAAGCCATCGCTCCTATCCTGGGCATTCCCTACAGCCAAAGAAAGGATGAGACACAAGCCGAGAAAACGGAGCAAATCTCACAGGCCCTCAGTCTGCTCTACAATCAGAAGAGCTTCTTCATGAAGAGATCCTATGGACAGAATTAAATTCCTTTCACTTCTGACTTTGACCACAATAACCATCGCATCAAGAGATCTGCACGAAAGCTGTGAATGCTACGACTGACACCAACACCAGCCTTTGTCACAGACTCTGGGAGAAGAGGCATGCTTACTTTGTGTTATCTCTAAGTGGCAAAACAGCTATCAGGTGGCAAGCAGAAAAAAAAGTCAGCAAAGGCAATTTAAGACTTAGAAGACTGAAGCCACAGTAGGTGTAGGGCTCCTGAGAGCCCTACAGTGACTGGGTTTTTTCCCCTGTGCTTTGTGGCTTTCATGTTTATGTTGTGACCACCTCTCACGGCTATGCAGGATGGCAAGGTCTGGATGAATGGGGCTTCAGAAGATTCAGGGTTGCTTTGGGGCGCATGTTGGGCCATCCTGTAGCTGTTTTGTGGAGGGAATACTCAGGTGTGCTGGGGCTTAAGCCCTGGGCCTCGATCCCATCCTGTGCTGAAGAACCGTGCTGGACGGAATTGTTCTGAGGACCCCACAGAAAAGACACATGGAAAGCACTCAGCGCTGTGCCGGGAACTACCCACGGGCCTGCCCCGTGGGAACTGCACTCTTGCGGTCATGTTAGATTTCTGAAGTCATCTCATGTACTGTGATCATACAGTGAGGGAAATCGCTGAGGCACATCCCTTGTGACCTGGAGGGCTCAGCTCCACCGTCAGGGGCAGAATGAGGCTCCCGCCCCAGGCCTCTCTTCAGCGCTGCCCGTCGTGCAGTACCCGACTCACCCTCATGCTCCAGTCTTCCGTCCTCCCGCCCTTCACTTCTGCCCTCTCCAGGCGTGTCGCACTGCAGCACACGGTCGCTAAGCCCTGTTCACAGCCCCTGCCAAACGCTCCCCTTCCTGCCGTGGCTTCCGTGGCTGCTCTGGTCTCTCGCTCACTCCTCCCTCACTCCCCATGGCTCCTGCAGTCTCAGCCGACAGCTGCTCTTCGCAGGGATCTTGTGCAGCCTCCCCAGCTACAGCGACCCCACTTTCCCTGCTTTCCAGCTGGGCCCCGGGCCCCATTCCTCCCCGATCACTTCCTCTCCTTTCACATCTCCTGTCTTCTTAAGCAAGCAGCAGCTCCAGAGCCGCCTTTTGTGTCCATTGTGTCCCTTGCACCTAATGCAGTACCTGATGCCCAGGTGCTCGGTGAATATACTCGGGGTGAATGAGCGAGTGGGTGAAGAAACGAATTCCAAAGCCAGCATACTTATCAGCACCTGGCCAGGACAGAGGAAAGTACCTAAGTTTTCTGGGAGGGGGACCCAGCCACCTGCTGGCTCCCCTTCTTGGCCTCCTAAAAGAACAGTGCAGGGCTGCCCGCAGAGGGGACCTTTCCAAACAGCATCCCACACAAAAGCACATCTTGCAGGCAAGAGAAATGGGTGGATAGTTGCTAATTGCGTCTTCCAACTGGGCTGATCTTTCAAAAGTTCTTGAGGCGCCTGCCTCCATCAATCCCGGCTGCTACGGCTGCTGAGGCTGCTGAGGGAGGAGGGGAGGGTGCGCTTGGGCGCCTCTCGGGCTGGCACGAGGAAGCCACATCTCATCCTCCCTCCTCCCCCAGCTCCTCTCCAAGAGAGGAAGCAGTGCAGATGGAGACGAGAAATAAATATTCCTGCCTGCTCCGTACCACTGCAGACGTTTTCCAAAATGTCTGGCTTGGACCATGAAATCGAGCCCACCCAGGAAAGGAGGCGCTCAGCAGGAGAAAGAGGGGGAAAGGGTGGCACATTTGCCGGTATCCGTCAGCCTTCTGGGGGGCAGAGCACATGGCTCCTCCTTGGCAGCCCTGATGCGGGGGGAATGTGGTGAGTGCACAAATACTCGAAGAACGGAGTCAGAATGGGAGTGGGGTGACGCAGACCCTGCCAGGCTGTCGCCCCGTCTCTGCGGCTAGGGCCACAGTCCTGGCCGCACAGCTGGCTCCCACACTGGCTTTGGACTTTGCAACCGCGACACCTGCAACCTCTGCCCAACCCTTTGCACCTCCACTCCAGTCCTGGGCAGGCAACACGCCTGGGCTGTGGGCATCCTTCAGAGCCCTCTGCAGGGTGGGCAGGAGCTGTGCTCTGTGCAAGCGGCTGGTCTTGCCACCCCCAGGCACAGCGCACCTCCTCTAGACGGGAAACCCGGCAGGGGAGAAGGCAGAGGCTGCAGTGGGAAGTGGGTGCATGGGCCTCGGTGGCCAAGTGTGGGAGGAGTGTCACCGGAGAGGGAGAGGAAGGTACAGGCCCAGCAGGGCACCGAACCCTCTGCATTCCAGAGCCTTCTCCGCTAGGCAGGCAGGGAGGCTGCAGGGCCTGGGGGAGGAGACAGCAGGGGCACCCGAGCTGGAGCACCTCTACGAGCACACTCTGGGCCTTTATTCCCATCGCGCTCCGGAGCATCTCCAGGTGCCCGTGCTGTCACAGCACCCTGCAAGCCCCTGCGTAAGTCACTCAGCAGGACGGGGGCCGGGTGGGACGTTTCTGGCTTTCACAGGTTCAGGTTCAATGGAGTAAACACAGTTACTCAAAGCCAAGACTCCAAGCCCGCGAAGTCCTCTATGGGTGTGAGGAGCACGCTCTCCCGAGACGTTGCCTTCCCTTCCGGCCCTTGCCGCCGTTTCCACGATTTCACTACGGAGTGAAACGCTGTCTAATATCTCCCACTCGTGTGCCCTGGATCCTTCTCTCTGAATCCTCCCCACTCATTTGCCCATCTGCTTTGTAGTGCCAGGCGACTGCCAGCTGAATCCCATCCCTCCAGGGAGCCGCTCAGTGGTGGCAGAGAGTCGGCAGGAGGCTTGGGTCCTGTCCCCACTCTGCCCATTGCTGTGTGACCTCAGACAAGTTGCTCCCCCTCTCTGGGCCTTGGTTTCATTGTCAAAAGAGTACGAGTTGTAACACGGGATGCGTGGTTCTGTAGAGAGCCACTGGATGGGATTGTGGTCGTCACTGTCCCCTTCCAACCCCACCTTCACCAAAAAACCCCAGGAAGTGTGAGGTTGCCTCACTTCCGAGACTGAGGTCAGTCCTTATGCCTGGGAGGACCAGGGTTGCCTGTCAAGACCAGCTGGCCTCAGGGTGCAGGGACTAGAAACTGTAATGTCTTACGCAGGCTTCTGGATTCCAAGGCACACGGAAGCATGGGCTGCAAAGACAAAGTAGTGCAGGTTGGGAAAGAAGTGTGCCTGTGTGTTTGAGTCACGTAATAGTCCTGTGGGTCCCCTGATATTGATAACGGCTTCCCTTTGTTGCGGTGTACTCTAAGCTGGGGGTATCCTCTTTCGTCTACGTTATTATCTCATAAGACCTCATTATGGCGGATCGTATCCACCCTTCACTCCCTTAAAGACGAGGAAACTGAAGTTCAGAGGGGGCGAGACACTTGCTCAAGATCACACAGCTGGTTAAATTGGTAATGGGACTGGCACTCAGTCCTGTTTGCTTCCAAAGATGGTGATGTGCTGCCGACTGCCCTGTGCTGGGCCTTGTCTTGGCATTCAGTGACACCAGGGAGGCTCCTCTCTGGTGAGAAAGGCTACCATAAAGACCCAGAGACAGGGGTCCGAGTCACTGCTTTTCATTGCCAAAGAAAACAACTCAGCGCCAGCAAGAGCCCTGTGGTCGGAAATAGGAGGGAGAAAGCAGTGGTGACAGCTGGCTGGGGCCTGGAAGAGCGGGGGCGCGAGGTCCCCAAAGCAGTCCAGTTACAGCGCGCTCTCCGCACACTGCCCGCCCACAGGAACTGTGCTGGCCTCTCTCCCCTACAGCCTCGCTCTTGCCTGTCTCCGGCACAGCATCGGTGGCCCTCGGCATTCACAGAGCCTGCTCCATGTACCCGTCTTGGGCCCTCAGCGTTTGCAAGGCTGGGCGTCTGCTCCAGAGGTGGTGAATGCAGACGGTGCCCGGGCCCAGCAGGTCTGCACGTGTCCACCGGCAGGAGGGGCTGCAGCAGGCTGCAGACCACAGCTCGTCCAGGTGGACCCGAGACTCACACCCGCAGGCCGTGGCTGAGCACATGGACAGGTCCACCCCAAACCCAGACTTCTTCAGAAGTTCTTTTTTAAAAAACGAAGTTTTTAATGCAAGCAACTAGTACAGTTAAGAAAGATGGACCCTGCACAGGAAGGACCACATAACACACGTCTGCACCCTCTTATGACCTGCGGCTCTCCATGTGCAGTCTCTAATATTAATTTCCCACTTACAGGCGTGGAAATAGTGGATTCCGTTAAGCATTGTGCCTGAGAGCTAAGGTGGGCAGAGCCGGGCAGTTCTGCGAATGCACACAAATGGGAGGTGTGTGTGTGTGTGTGTGTGTGTGTGTGTGTGTGTGTGTGTATAGAATATTGTCAATTTACAGATGAAAGTGAAATAATGCTGACCCACCTGCTGTATGAAATATTCTGCTGACTCTGTCTTAGTGCTTATCTTACATACGAATAGTTGACCACAATTCACACACACACAACAGCACCCCTCCTGCAAACCAAAGCCAAAAGCCAAAACCAAACTATAACAAAAACCAGGAAAAAGAAGAGTCTCTTTACTTACAGTAAATGACAGAAAAGAAGAAAACAAAGTCCCTTCGTCGTATCTGGATAATTTTGCCAGTACTCCTTCCAAGATAGTAATGAACTAGTGAAACAGCAAGGAAAAAAAAAATTATTATTTCAAACTATCATTGTTCACAAAAAAGAGAAACATTTCCCAACCACACAGAGACGGAGCCCTTGGAGCTGAGCCTTCGGCTCATCTCTGCTTCCTGCTTGAGTTGATGCCTACCTTTGGAGAAAGGAAGAGACCGCCTTTGCATGGAAGTATTTGACTTATCCGGATTTCTCTTCATTATTATGTGATTGCAAATATAGAGGGTTACAGAAGTGCAAAGTGACAAAATATTATTGAGTTGCATATAGCATGCGATAATATTAAATGCACTTTTCAAAATCCAAAACTGCGCAAAGCAGTTTTTATGTTACATATTAGCACTACATTTAATCCAGTCTATTTTTATTTGTATTTTATCAGTAATTTTGGGGAAACAGAAGTTTAGCACTGGCAAATATAAATGTCTTCCCATTCAGCATTACTTAGTTAAAATTCTATAATTCATGAGGGTGACTGAAATAGCTTTATCTGACTTTTATGTTTTATTATGACTCTCACTGCATGTGAAACTAGAGGAAAAGGGGTTTTCATGATGGCAGAATTCCTTATTACTGTTTAATTTTCTGTATTTAAAAATCTAACTTTGTCAGCACTGAAAAACAAAATAAACATTTCCCGTGTAACCGAGTGCAACGTTTAGGGACAAATTCTTATTAAGTTAACATATGCCACCTCATCAATTTATCTTCACATGGCTCGCAATCATCAGAAAATCATTCCGAGCTGCGGCTGGGTGATGTACAACCTTGTTTTCTGAAAGATGCAAGGATGCAGCGCAACTTTTTAACGTGTGACATTTTAATGGAAACGTGGACATAACCAAGCCCTGTCACGGGGAAGTGTTTCACCTGAAGCTGAAGGTTACCTTTGCAACCAAGAGTGTTATCATTTCTTTAACAGTTTCTTCAATTAGTTCGTCTATTTTTGAGTGGTATTGATGCTAAAGAACACAGAAAGACAAATATTAGCATGTTTGGAGGCGATAGCTGCATCTGTCCCTAAGTTATAGACCACACAATTTATAAATAATGACTGGCCAGCAGACCCAGTTTATTTGCATAGTTCTAGAAGCATCGGTAAGATTCTGACTCCAGATCTTTGCTGGAAAGAGATCTGAAGCTTCTTAAGAAAGAATAAAGAAAAAGAATCATCAGGCTTATTGTTCACTGTTCCTTACCCAAGGCTTCAGCTACCTTTGTTGTGTGTCAACACACTCGTTTACAAGCAGAACACATGGATGGCTTCACAGCCGAGCAGTGTGCTGCTCTAGATTTTTCAAAGTGAGGCACCACAATCATCTAACAAAGGAGATGAGAAACATTATCTTTGGAAAACTGCAGGGGAGATGTGGCTTGGGTAGGTGGATCCCTCCAAAGGAGATTTGGCTGAGACACTGATTTTGCAAAAGCTGTTCTGAAATCTTCAGGTGCTTTGGGGTTCATGCCTCAGAGCTCCCCAAGTTTACCTCCAGGGGTGGACTCAGTGTCCAAGCCAAGTGTCTCTTCCTGAGCCCTTGAGGTAAGTGACTACTATCTCCATTCCTGGTTGAGGAGAACCAGGCTTTGAGCCTCTAGTGAGACCACAGCTAGTTTCAATTTCTGTATCTGTGGCTGTCGATTAAATTTAAATAGTAATATGAAAACAAACCCCTACACAAACAAAAATCTGCTGTAAATGCCAGGGGAAAAGGAAAAGTGATTTCAACACAAAATATTATATGCCAGCTCCTTGACATTTATTAGATCATGTTGGTATCCACTTGAATTATTCTGTATTTCCTTAACAAAAAAACAACAATGCGCAACATTGTTATTTGGAAGGGAAAATGCACTTACCCACTCTTTAGCAAACTTTCAGAAGGATGATTAATTAGGAACAGAAAAAAAGAAAAGGAACAGTGCAAATAAAAATTAGGACAAATGGATACACGGAAAATTAAAAGTTAAATAAACCACCCAAAAAGCAAAGAAAATATACAGATATAAGCCACAGAAATGTAGTTTAATATTCCGGTAACTGACAATCAGAATTATGGAGAATGAACAGAGAGATGTGAAGTTGGTTTGTAATTGCAAGACCTGGATAAAGTCCCCGTGCCACCTAAGAAGTCACAGAATCTACAAAAATTTAGCTCAGTTTCCTTATCTGTAAAAAGAAAACAAAACAGGCAATGAAGCAACCCGGGACCAAAAGGACAAGTGAAACTAGTATAAAAGATTGATTTGGGGAAGGGGATGAGCAAGCCCTTTATAAGGATATTGAGCTACAAATTTCAAAATAGAAGAGAAGATTTTGAATGTTCTCATCACAAAGGACTTTGATTTGAGCTTTATACAATGTATCTGTGTATCAGAATATTGCATTTTATCCCATGAATATATGTGATTAGTGAAAGATATTCAGCTGGTCTGTTCTATGATTATTTAAAAGCCCAGTGCCTAAGTCCTTCCCTGGAACTCATGTTCTCAGGCTTATAGGTCTGTTCTGAAGATCTTTTGAGGGTCTAGATGTGAAGACATTTCATCACCTGCCCTTGCAGTTAAAATAGCATTTTTCAAGTTCACAAGTAGCTGATAAGGATCCGGATAGAGAGAGGATCTTATGACTTAGTCATCTTTTCATTTTGGTTGGTTAGAGAAAAAACTAAACAAATCGTCCATGTTGTATATACTGTCCTGATGAAATAAAACTGACGTTGCCCATTTGCTAGATTCAAGAAAGGACTTGCCCATTAAGTGACACAAACCTGAAGCTAAATGCAAAAGGAAAATTATCTGTAGCATTCTGTGCTAGAAACACAAAGAAAGATGTTAGAGCAAAAGAATTCAGCAATATTGACAGGGATCCAATTCATTTTTAGGTCTTGAGATAAGATCCAGAATCATCTCCTTACTTTCCTTGTCATGTGACTGCCTCCTCCACTAGGTTTGCTTTGGATTGCCATAAATGAGTCACATTTATTAAATTCATTATGGGATTAAGCCAGATCGGAAAAGCTTGCTGTGTGCAAAATTATGTAATATTGAACATGAAATGAGGGGTTTCTGACTACACCAAAGAACATCGTTGAGAACAGAAACATTCTCTTGAAAATCTTGGCTGAAGTGGTAAATACAGACAGGAGCAACTGTTCTCCACTCACCAAGAAAGATGAAGGGTCTCGGGCTGAGGAGCGAATGGTGTTATTCTTTCACTTAAGAGGATGAGCTTTCCTTTCTGGGGAGATACTTTTACACGGAAACACCACAGGGACATGGTGGTTTCTGGAGCCGCGGAGGTCTACGGGAACCTCGCAGTTATCCATGTCTGCCACGGTCCTCTTTTCTCTTCAGGTGGTCCATGCTGCACAAATAGGATCTCTACTCTCAAATCATGAATATTCTGATGCCCACTGATGCTTGTTAAATGAACAGTGAATCTAGAATTATCACTATTGTGAGTGTAGAAACTAGTCACCTAAACATATTACACAAAACAATGTGCGGAAACACGACTTAGAAGCTAGAGGTGCTACCTGGCATTATGACTACTCTAAGACTCCCACTGCTACCTCGTTAGCATGGTGGTTATGTGGGTGCACACACCTGTCTAACCTTACCTAAAATCTATATATTTTATTGTATTGTAAATTAGGCCTTTTTTAAATCTGGTATTGGGGATTGAACTCTGGACTTCTTCACTGAGCTGTACCCTCCGCTCTTTTAATTTTTTATTTTGACACACAGTCTTGCTAAGTTGCTATGCACATTGTGTCTTAATCAAATAAAACTAATTAAAATAAAACTTACTTTGGGGCAGATAGCAGGGTAATAATTTTTCTTCTGACTGGGTGGCGAAGGGGTAAATATCAAAGCAGTCCCTACTAGCCCCTATTTCTGCTCAAGTAATTAGGAAGTACATAAATCCCTTTTGCCAGATTTTCCTGATGTATGTGACTTATTTGATTAGTTTGCTTTTATGGAACAACAGTACATCTTCTCCCTTCACTTTTTTGCTCTTTCTGGGGAGATGATTTGTTCTATATAGATGTGAATCCCCATGAGGGGTATACACACCACTGGGGCATTTTTGAATGACCACCCTGCCACTAGATTGACCTGTCATAAAATTCTTTCAGTATGGGTACAAAGACAGATCTTTTCTATGTTCACATTTTCCATTCTCCCTGCTGGTCTTCTTAGATTCACATGACCTATAGTCCCAAGTTTTGTCCTGGGTACTACATCATGGCAGTAGCTACTAAGGGAGCTACTGATTTTCAGTGGCATGGAAAGTTTGGAGAGTTTGCTTTCACTTCTGATAGGCTAAGTTGCTGCAGTTTCACAATCACTACATGGAAAACATTCCACTTGACTTCCTGGGCTGCACATTTTGCCTTGTCATGGAACAGATTGTGTGTATGTTGTCTTTCTGTTAAGACCATCTGACCTTGGAAACGAGACGCAAACACACTAGACCAAGTGAGAAACTATTTAATACACAATTTCCTCTCTATTGGTACTTCACAAATTTTAATGAAAAAATAAATATTTAAGATAGAAAAGTATGGTTAACAAATGTCTCAGCAGCTGCCTTTAGATGAGACATCATTCCAGTGATGAGATTCAGGAAGTGATCTTAAAATTGGAGATTATACCACCTCGCCAGTATCTAGTCTAAAACAAGTTGAGGGAGGTAGAATCCAGGTGCTGGCTAGTACCGGAAACAAGGCCTGTACTACGTAGGCTTAGTACACTATATTCACAAAGTACAAAGTGCATAAAAGCATTGAGCTTGTATCTAATCTTTTCTGAATGGTAGGTTGCTTCCAGTTTTTCTTGGTCAGTCCTATTTTAATGAATCAGTTTTATTTTAGAGATAAATATCCCCAGTCTGCAAAGCAAGAGATGTCAAGAAGGGTTCATTTCCACGTGACTTGCCACTGAAGTTCTGCATGGGGTCACAGTCACGGTGCCACATCTCAAAGGAAGGACAGTCATGTCTGGCTTCACCCAGACCATTCTCAGCTACTTGGTGGTCTAATATCAGAAGGGGCATCACTTCCCACAAGCTGGCCACTAAGGTGTCTCTGATTAACCTACACTAAGGAGAAATGTCATGATAGGTCTCTTTAACATTGCTTGGAAGATTGATACCCTTAGAGTAAGGGTCATAGATCAGAATACAGGAGGGACCCTTAATAAAGATGTTTAGCTGTGTGTATGTGTGTGCATTATTTTGCAAAAGACCAAGGAATGTGTACGAGCCTCAGCTGTTTTCATTAAACATGCTGAGTTGTGTGGGAAACATGCCTTTAATTGTTTCTACCAAAAAAGAACAATGTTCGGAAAGAAATAGGTGCTGTCACTTAGCCTCAACGATAGTCCAAATATGACTTTTTGGATAAATCTAAGACAGCTTTCTTATCTTAGATCCAGAAGTTAGGAGAATGTATCTCCAATTTTAATGAACCACATGCTCACCCTTCCCAATGGTTGTATACTGCTTGCTATATTTTTCATTTGACAGGCGGTGGCAGTAAGGTTACAAGAGTAAGTGGCGTGCTCAAGGTCACGTAGTTTGGTAGCTAAGATGATGGTTCACAGGATATAGTGATTAGACTACTAACCAGTGTGTTCTTCTAGAAAACCAGACTCCAAGGTTAAGGCAAAGCCACTCTACTTTAGCACAGAAGTGACCAGTGGTAAAGATGTGGGCCAGGGTCATTGAATTGATAACACCCAACTTATTAATTCTTATCACATATCTCTAATCAGGGCATGTGGTTTGGTTTAAGGAGGTTCACCAGTCCACTGAGACTGTATAGTAATATTTCAAGTATCTTTTTCCTGTACAGTAGAATGATCACCTTGTAACTTTCACACATTCTCGGTGGTGTTTGGATTACCACCCCTCCCATCCCCTCTACTCTCCACAAATCCCCAAATCAAAGGGAAACAAGTTATGGTCAGAGTAATCTGGTTTGTTTGGAAGGGTCGTTTAGCCATCTGGCCAGGAATGGAGGAGCTATTTAAATAGGGCCTCACCGAATCAACCTGGAGGGGCACTGTGAACAGAGGGGGACAGAGGCCTGTCAGCCCCACTGGATTAATCCACCCCTATCCACCACCTGCAATCCTTGTGAGACTCAGGTACATGTCTGCCTCAAGAGGTTCTGAGGAGAACTAGATGCCAGACTTTATCGAACCTAAAAACTCTCTCTCTCGTACTATAAAGAAAGTGAAAGAGGCAAACCACAGAATGAAAGAAAAGACCTGCGCATCATGTGTGGAACAGTTAGTACCTACAGCTCAACAGTGAAATGCAAATAAACCCTGTTTAAAAATTGAGCAAAGGATTTGAATAGATACTGCTGCAAAGAAAATATATAAATGACCAACAAAGACATGAGAGGATGTCAGACAACCCTGTATGCTCTTATCACTGCAGACACCCCTTGGCTGAGATGCAGAGCAATTAGATCTCTCGACATTGCTGGTGGGAATGTAAGATGAAGCAGCCACTGTGGAAATGTTTGGAGGTCCTCAAACAGTTAGACGTAGATTTACTATGTGACCCAGTAATTCCATTCCTAGATATATACCCAAGAGAACGGAAAATCAAAGTCCACATGAAAAACTGTACATGAATCTTCATAGCAGCATTATTCGTAAAAGCTAAAAGTTGAAACAACTCAAATGTCCCTCAGCCGATGAATAAACAAATGCATGTATCAATACAATGGAGTATTATCCAGCCATAAATAGAAAAGACCAACACATGCTACAACATGGATGAATCTGAAAACATTATGCTAAGTGAAAGAAGACAGACACACAAGGTCACATATTGTTGACTCTATTTATATGAAATTTCCAGAACAGAAATTTTCTTAGAAATAGGCAAATCTGTAGAAAGAAGATTGATGATGACTTCAGGCTTGGAGGTGACGGAGGACAGCGATTGCTAATGGGTAGCTGGCTTTTCTCTAAGATAATGAAAATATTCCAAAATGGATTTTGGTGATGGCTGCATAAGTTTGTGAATATACTAAAACCTGTGAACCATCTACTTTAGAAATGTACATTATGCGAATTATAGCTCTGTTAAATAAAAAGCAGCAGTAGCTCTACGAGGAGAAAAGCAGAATTCTGGAAAGAATAAACTTGAAGGTTCTTTAGTGAATTTTAGAAATCTCCTAAACCACGGTTTAGGAGGAGGTGTAACACCCAGCAGATTGTGTTGCATCGCCTGGAGAAGCTCAGGGAGGGCATGAGTGAAAGAGGGGATGGGGGTGCCGTGCTCACCCGCCTTGGCTCTGGGGCCCTCTTCCCCAGCTCCCCCTTCCCAGTCAGCTCTGAATTCACTTGTTTCATATGCTGGCCTTCTCTGGACACTTTGAAGAACTCACTCTGAAGCTAAAACCAGGCCGGGCAGAGGTTGCTCCATGACTGAACACTTGCCTAGTACTGGACCTGCAAACTCTGGGCTCGAGTCCCAGCACCAAAGAAGACCAAAAACTAAAAAATACAAACAAAAACCAGTGGGATAAAACTAGAATAGTGCAATTATTTTACAGATAAGGAAACTGAGGCCCAAAGAGGCTGACTGACTCGTCCAACTCGTTTGCTTCACAGTCACAGCAAGAATCCAGCTGTGTGAGCACCCCCTTCCCATCCACACCTTCCCCCAGTGGCACTGGAAGGGCCTGAGTCTTTCTCTTTAGCTCCTTTTTGGCTACTGAGCCTCCAGACCAGAGGCTCTCCACCATCACCAGAGAACTGGTCAGAAATGCAAATTCCAACACCGTACCCCAGGGCTGGAAGAAGCTCTTGGGGTGGGGTAGAAGGGGCTGGGTTTTCATGAGCTCTCTTGATGAGTGTCACGCAGACTGGAATTTGAGAACTGCTGCTCCAGGTCATTCCTGTGCAGCAAGTTGTGCTACAAGGAGATCCAGGGGCCGCTGCACTTGGCCGTAGTGCCTAGAACCTACTTCCTGGGAAGGGCTGGGCAGGAAAATCAGCTCGGCAGGAGCAGAAGCTAGCAGGGGGTGACTGAGGAAGCTCAGTTTTGGGGGAAACAAGGTTGGAGAAGATCGTGCCAGGAAGAGAATACCACCAACCCACATTTAAAAATGGAAGGTGCCGAAAGAGAAAATAAATAACGAATAAGGAGCAAATATAATTTAGTAAAAATTCTGAGCATGTAAGGCTGGTATCGAAAGATCTGATTTAGGAGCAATTTATGCCAATTGGCAACAACATAGAGTTGCCAGAAATGTTTCTGAATTAATTCTAAATTGGTATATGAATATCTAGCTGGCTTAAGGCCATCAGAGAAAAATGATCATGATAGTCTTTAATCAAGCCCAAGTTGCTGCTTCCTTCTCCTTTACATTTTAAATACTGCTTTGGAACTGGAAACTTAGCAAAGGACAAAAACTTTTGGTCAGGAAAGATTCAGAATAAATTCAATCCATGGAGAATTGAAAGCTTGCAGTTCTCTGGACACTTAGAGCCTGCTGGGTAGGGAACGGGTAGCAGTGCGATATAACATGGTGCGTCCTCAAAGGTGCTTGATGCAAGAGGAAGCCTTTCCGGCATCTAGATGTCCCTAGTGATAACACGCACTTCAAAGGTGAGAATGACTTGTACGCTGGCAAACACCGGCCTAATGGGTAGGGTCAGCAAACTTCCTTTAGCTGAAAGGAACTTCCGGCCAGCCCAACTGTGGCCAAGAATCATTTCCAAGTGACTGGCACCCTCACCAGCACATGCCTTAGACATTTACTTGACAGATACTGAGCACTCATCTGTGGCTTCATCTACAAATGCTCAGAGTATATTTCTGAAACTAGGATATTAGGGTAGATGGAAGGGATCTGTGAAGTTTTCTTCTACATGATCAAATGGTGAGAGAAAAAAATCCTTTTTAATTTTTTTTTTTTTTTTTTTTTACCTCTTGGCCCATTTCCATGCTGCAAAGTTTTGTTGATTGAGCTTTGGCATCAACCATAACATTAAACATGGTGCATATTGACTGCGGCACTCGAAAATCTGTTGATCGACTCGTTTTTTGCAGCTTAACTTCAAATGCAATCCTGGTTCTATTAAAACAAAGTAGGAAAAGACCAATTCAGTGCTCGGATGGCAGCAGGTGGAGGAGACATTTTCTGAGAGGTCAGTGAAAAAGAAAATTGAAGGCTGTAATCAGTTTCAATCGACAATGACTTCACATGTGTTCTCTTTGAAATGACTTCCCCATCTAAAGAAGGCCTATTCACAGAGACAGCCACGCACACCCTTCCTTTCTCTGTGGTTCACGGAACACCTGTAGCTCAGCGTATTTCTGTCTATAGTTTCCATGCTATGGAGAACCCTAATTGCAGGAGAATGAATGAATTAACAAAAACCCAATTATAGCATTACAGCATATGTAAGTTCTCTCACATTGGCAACTGCCTACCTTGAATCACTTCATTAAAAAAACAAAACACCGAAAAGCAGTTCCTAATCTTTAAAACCTCATGGTGGAAAAGTTGTTAAATGACATTTATTGTTTTTTTTTCTTTCTGGTTTTGAAAGAGTCTGAAAGGAAAACAAAAAAGTCCAGCAAATTTATTACTTTGCCTTCACGATTAAAAATAATAGTTTTTGCTTGTTGAAGGATCATAAAGAAGGAAACGTGTCAAGCTGCTGAACCTGGATACCTTTGCACAAGGGGGTGAAATTAGAAGGTGCAGTATTGGGGAACTTCCACTAGGTTCGTTTGCTTTCTGTGTCAATGTATTATTTTTCAGTAAGAATATATTGTTTTTATAAGCAAAACATCATATTACATTTAATGTACAGCTACCTTATATAGCCAGTGTATAACATACATAATATACAATTCAAGAATTCTTTAGTGGTGAAATTTTAATGCTGATGGAGGTAAATTATGACATCAGCAGTGTGCCAGCCACTCACAGGGGAAACCTGTGGCCAGCTAGTAACACAGGTATAAGTTTTAATCCTTGACGTCAGCCTCGTAAGAAGGCCTGGCTATATTTTACAGGGTTGCAGAAAAGTGGGTCACATCATGTCTCCATAAAAAAGCACCTGATAAGCAAGTGGGTTTATTCAAGCCCCTTTCATCTAATACATCTTTTCAGCACTGTTTCCTGTCAGGTTCCAGACCTCATGCAGCCTCCAGGAAAAGCACTGCTTTAAGAGGAATTCGTAGCAGTTTTCTAACAGTACATAGGAGGACCACACAGCTAGTTAGCTCAGGAAAGGGTGCCAGCTTGTAACATACCCTGGGTGCATGCAGGAAAGCCAAGTATAATTTCTAAGGTTGGAAGCCCAGTTCTTAGGAAAAAAATTAAAGAAAAAAACCCCAAACCCTCAAAACACCCTTATAGATTATATGATCACGTTAAAGATAAATGTATCTTGGCTTCTAAAGTCTCAGTGCACTGAAGTAGCTTTCTAATCATGATGATCATTTTAAGCTATGCTGAAAATAATCCTTTTCTAGTTTTGTGAAAAGGAGGCCTGCTGGGGGCTGAGTTGGACAGGCCCTGGTGCTGATCTTCTGAGGCTTGTGTGCCAGTTCCGGCCCAATTTGAGAAATGGAAATGCTAAATCGTCCTCTTCCAATGAAGTAATCGTCTTCTGTTTTCACAGAAGAACTGTTCATAGCCCTTGGAGTGCAGGGCTGTGAAAGGAGGAAGATGAATGCAAAATTAATATGCCTGAGAGCGCTCTGTGGGACCCAAAAGCAAGAAAGGAAGAGTTCACTTCACCCGAGCGACTCTCCTTGAGGGAAGACTCACAGATTCTTGTGTGTTCAGCACAAACTCCATACACACTAGGGCAGAGAGCTGCGGACATCTAATGAATGAACTACATTTCTTGAAAACCAACAGGAGGAGTGCCTTGCCGACATCTTGGCATTGCATATTTACATATAAAAAACTATGTCTTTGCTATATTGCCCTGGAACAAAAGTTATACATTTTGTCCAAAGAGAAAAACAGGTGGTTCTTGGTTGTTCTAACGTAGATTTCATGTCTTAAAATGTCTAAGGCCTTTTCCACGTCATCCTCTAAAGTTGGAGGTCAAGTGATGGTGCTTCCACCTGCTTTTGATTTGTCTGCTTTTGTGCTTATGTTTAGGGCTTTTACCGAAAGAGACATCCGGAAATTTAAGAGTCCACGGCCAGTCAGACATGTGCAGTGGGCCAGGGAGGAACCAGATCCACGCCTTGGCTCCGAGTAACTCACCCACTTTAGGTGGTACCTGAACTGTAATGGCGAGGTGGGAAGAAATAGAGCAGCCTTACCTACCTCCGACCTTCCCTTTTTCTCTGAGCATATCCTTGTTTCTTACTTCTTACCCAGAAGACTGGCTCGTCAGCCAAGGACATGAACGCCTTTCTGTACAATTCTGTGCATAGAGCAGGACCTGGAAAGTCTAATTCTAATGAGTTTAAACCTCTAGGACAGATCAGGGGAGAAATTTTGGCCTTAAAGAAGTGTCCTGTAAGAGGATTTTTTGCTGGAATGGTTTCATCATTGGAAATGCACTGTTTTTTCTAAAATCAATACAGACTATATAGGAGATTCTGGAAATCAAAACCCTAAGGAAACTCTTTGACTGTGGATTTTAGAAATAGGCCTGTTTTTGGTTCTCAGAGTGAGAAGAAAAAAATTCTCAGTCTGAATCACTAGGACTTTACACTTCCAGAAGCAGCATAAAATAGCTGCCGAGATTCTCCATAGCTTTTTCCCCAACTCCTGGTGTTCACTTACTTAGGACTGTGTTGTTCTTCTGCCTTTTAGTTTCTCGTTTTAATGCTATTCTGTTTTTTCTTCCAAGATGTCAAATGAAGAATTCTGAGGACTTCCAGGCAAACCCAGCCCCCGTTACCCACAACTGATCTATCAACTAGACTGCGCAACATCTGGAGAACTGGAGTAGCATGTGCAGTCTTTTTTTTCAATTAGGAAAATTAATGGGACGGTTATGAACCAGAGAAGGAGCTTGGATGTAGGTGTGGGGGTAGGCAGGGTGTTGGTGACTATGTAAAATCAGTGGAATTCCCCTCTGTATTTGGTATATAGTTATAGACCCTCCGTGAGGGAAGGGTGTGTCTTTGTTGTAAGCAAGAACTTACCTCTGTGCCTGGCCCATGGGAGCAGCTCAGATATGGTCCTCGTTTTCTCCCCTTGAGCATTCAGAACTGTCTGTCCGGCAACTTAAAGTGCCACATTCCAAGTCCTACCCTAATCCTATAAGCCACAGTGACAAACGGGCAATTTGTGGGAAGGCAAAATGTATATTGTGTCTCACTTGCCTTGTCGATAACCAGTAAGATTTTTTGTGGTTGTTGTTTTTCTCCGGTACTGGGAATCAAACTCATGACCTTGCGCTTGCCCGGCAGGCGCTGTGCCGCTGAGCTAAACCCCCAGCCCCTCCAATAAGATTTTGAGTGTGACAACTACTAGTTGCCGCATGGTAGGTACTCAGTCCCTAGTACAGAAGGAATGCCAGTGCGGAGGTGCCTGCTTTGCCAGCACATCAGTAGATGTGCTGTACGGGGTACTGCCTACCCCCACACCTACATCCAAGCTCCTGCCACCTGTACTGGGTCCTCCTGTTCTGGAATTATGTATCTTTCTCTCCTTTCTTCTCCACTCAGTTCCCACAGTCGTGCATTAATACATGTTTATTAGGTAAATATTTTGTGGCAGACACTGATAGATATTGGGGATACGGAGATGAGTAAAAATGGACATGGGTGTTTTCCTTGCGAAGCCAATAACCATGACAAAACTGGCAGCCGAATTATTTTGTGTTTGGGACAGATAGAAGGGAAGGTGAATTGAAACTAGACTTGGACAGCTACCCTTCCAGATGACTTTGACAAGCAGTAGCTGTCTCCAAAAACCTCTAAATCATGGCTTTTTTTTTTTTTCCGGTACAGGGGATCGAACTCACGACCTTGTGCTTGCCAGGCAGGTGCTGTGCCACTGAGCTAAGTCCCCAGCCCCAATCATGGCTTTTTGAAAGAAGAGTCATGGGCTCTTCCTAGAGTTCTCGTACAATGGAAAAAGCGTGCCAAACCTGCCCAGCCACATGGGCTTACCTTTTGACACAAGACTCAATCATGTCACTTGCCATCAGCTTCAGCCGTTGTTCTAGGTGCTTTCCAAATTCTTCCTCAGGCCAGTGCAGGTCCCGAATGAAGGTCTGAAGGGCATCAAGTTTCCAGAACAGATCCTCTGAGGTGCCTGATCCATTACTGGGAGGATAAGAAGTACAAACCGAGAGTCACCCAGCGGCCTTGGGCTCCGTGGAAACTAACACAGACACACCGGGGGCGAGAAGGCTTAAGGCAAACATTGGCTTCCACATACGACATGACGTGTGTTGGCCGTGGAGGAGGGGCAGTCTCCACCAGCAGATTTTGAGTTTTACCATACGCGACTTAGTTGGCTTTGCTCGGCCAATTTCTCCAGCCCAGTGAGGAGTCTGAAGAAAGTGTTGTCCCATGGCAACCAGGAGAAGGGTGTATGGTAAAATTCAGCCTTCCTTGATAACCACATTAGCACATGTGGTGATTCAGATGAAGGCCACGAGCCAAGGGGGAGAAGTGGGTCTCCACAGATAATAACTACATGACAACATGCAGTTATTAAACTTCGGGGTTTCATGCATTTCCCCAGCTCCCCTCCAGAGCAGAGGCCTCTTGAAGACTGCACAAGACTTTCAGTTTTAAGAGGACAGTGCTAACAAAGTGGTGAGCGAGGACCTGCTTTCTCTCTTGAAGAGCTGGAAAAAGACCGGGGTGACTCAGATCGAAGTGGGAATACCTGGGTACCTTGAGTCCAGAGTTCCTGTTTAGTTTGGTGATTATTCCAATTTTCATGGGCCAGCCCATTGCACAGGCAGCCCCTGGACGAGGGCAGTCGGGGCAGAGGAGGTGAGAGGACAGGAGTATTTGCAGCGCTTCAGGGCTCTAAACCTGAGCTTTTCATCTCCTTGCATGGTCTCACCCGGTCCTCTGTACAAATGGGGAAGTGGGATCTGACTCCTTTCTGCACAGTGACGTCTAAGAAACTTTCACCTGGGGCATCCACAGAGAGCCTGTGTACGGGAATGCTCGACCTCACCATCCTGCTCTTCTCTTGCCGGCTTTCTCTTTTGTAAGGGTCCCGTTTGGACCTCTGAGGGGTGAACACCCCCCGCCCCCTTCCTCGCATACCACTAGTGCTAACACGGTAGTTTATCAAATGTCCAGCACACCATGCATTACCACTTGTTCTGACATCGTCTATAGAAACAGATGAGCGTGGGTGTTTCTATTGTGACAGATGCCAGCTGCATTGAATTAATGCTTCAGAGAGAAATATAGCTAGTGCATAAAGGCATACACAGTTACTGCGGGGCAGGGAGGGGCAAACTCCCAACATGCCGAGACGCAGCTTAGGGCCTGGACCGACAGGGTAATGTTTTCAGGACAGACCAGTCTGAGGTCAATACGGAGATGTATCTGACACAAAGGAGCAGGTAACAGGCCCTTCAAATGAAAGGTGGCAAAGGAGGAAACTGGAATCATGAAAAGATATAGAATCAGGCATTTCCTGGAGGACGACCGAGAGCCCATGCCTTTGCAGACATAGCGTCGTGCAGAAGTGGGGGAGTGCATTGTCTCTCTGCAAAAGTTCGGCCTTCCCCCTACCCCATCTTACGCTCAGAAAAAAAAAGAAACCCCAACTTTGTCTAGCCTAAGCCCCGTTTTGGAACTGCATGGTTTATGTTTTAAATCATTAAGTACATACGAATGCAATAATTGGTATTTATTACAACAACATTTTGACACCCATCTGGTTTCAGAGCTTCAAAAAATTCTTGTAGGGTTTTTTTTCTTTGAAGAGCTTATTATTAAGTTTTGACATGAGGAAAAGAATATTTTCTTTTTATTTTTAAGATAAACTGCTAATGTTAAGGCAATAGCACCAAGATTATTTTGATTGCTGAGCAGTTACCAAAATGTGTTCCCACTCATGCCTTAATTAATTGAACGGAGACCATTATCTGCTTTATTACAATGTCTTGATTCATATCTTTTCAAAAGACAGTGTCACGGAGCATGCACAAAAGAAGGTAAGAGAAGCTTTAAGATATTTATTTTTAAATTTTAGACAGATACTACCTAATCTAGCTTTTAATATAGTCATCTTAGCATGAATATGATGTTTTTCTTTGATTTTTCCTTAGATATAAATTGTTTTGCTGGCTTTAATTTGCCTTTAAAAGAAAACCAGGCACATTCACCATATGATTCCACAGTGAACTTGTGAGCAATTATAGGTCTTAAAAAATATTAGGCCATTTGAAGGAGCCAGGTAGAGAAGTCATTTTAATGTCCTGTTCTCTACCTGTATTAATAGGAGGATAAAAATGTTATGGGCCATCTTGATGAATGTGATTTCGAGATTTCAAAACATCACTGCCAGTTTCAGATCATTTTTTATTCCTTTGATAATAACACTTCCCTTTGAAAATGTGCCAATTTATTCTTTTAAGAAAAAGCTTATCTGGCCTATAATTAGCTGTGGTCGACAAAAAGGATCAAAGGAGAGTATAGAATTGCTAAACTTTATTTCACTTATTAAATCATGCACATGGTTCTGATTTAATTTCTCTGAGGTAGGATTTAGGGGTGCTGGATCTTCTTCTTGGTAAGGAAAAAAGGAAGAGGACTCATTTCCTACTCTAGAAGAAACGGCTGCTTAATCCCCTCTCCCCAACCGCTGGCTTTGAAGAAATAGCCCAGGCTCCGGGTAAAACCACCCCTTACAACTCAAATGTTTGTAGGAATGAAGACAAAGAATGACTCTATACTCTGACCACAGATCACGTGATTAACAAGAGTTTAATTATTTGCTGTTTGAATCTTGATTCTTATATTCAGAGGCCTTCTTGCTGCCTAGATCTCAAAGCCTTATATTGTACATTGATCTTGGAAATTACCTTTGGATAACACAAAACTAGGGCTTGGGGAAGGAGAAATAAAAAAGATTAAGATGCAATGTGTATATGTATCAATTCTCCACTATAGATGTATTTATTATGTATCACAAACAGAGACTAATAAAAAAAGACTAGGGCTTGATCCATTCAGAAATTTTTATTTAGTCTTGAACATACTGTGACTACATTTTGCCTCTGCTAACACAGAAATATGCCTTATGGCTTAAATAATCTCTAAGAATTTTTATTGTTTAAAAAAAAGCTCCAAAGCCAGCTTCTAGGTAGGTGTGTGTTCCCTCTTATAATTGGATCAAGCCAGAGATGACTGGCCAGCCCATAAAATAGGTTTCCTAAACTATTTTTGGATGATTAACTTCTTGAGTCACCTACACTTAAGAAGGGGATATGGTCTTTCTGCAAAAGAATTTAGGAAGTGAAATTTAGTCCTCAAGCGTTCAGTGGGCGTAAGACAAATTGTTAGTACTGTATATATAGCAAACGTCTTACAAACATGATACATGCCAGAAATAAACAATATTGTCTCTGCGTGATCAGCAAAATATGTCTAATTATCCATCTCCATCTCTGTTATATAGGATGTATAGAAATAAACAATACATATCCATGCCAAGATCACTTAAATTTAAATTAGATCTAATGTGAACTGAATACACACTCAGCATCATATATAGCAGCCATCCATGACGGTGCCGAAAAAGTAGGCATTTGTGGGATGCCTAGAGGGATGTTAACTGGTAGATTTGGTACTTTGGGTAGGTTCACATTGGGTAGGTTCACATTGGGTAGGTTACTGGTTAAACTCCTGTAGAAGAAACAGACAGAAAGAAAAATACCATCACAGTGACAATGCAGATGTGGCAGAAACACACAACAGTTGTAAATAAATTGGCTAAGTCCACAGCAAGACAACAGTGAAAACTCAAGCGACACATTTCAGAACGGAGCTTGCAGATGTGGAGCTGTGATGGTGCTCGGCATGGAGAAATGAAAAATGTTAATGGCAAAAAATCCACCACAGAGTGACTGAAAGTGTGGATGCTCAAGGAGCACCCATGCACAACGACTGCAGGGTTCGGGGGTCTTTGGGCGGGACCTTCCTTCTCCAAATCCATTGCCAGAAGAGCGCAGAACTCGTCTTGTACTAAGAACGTGAAGTTCGTAGAATTCTTGCCGTGGCCAGGGCTGGGGCCGCGGGAAGGCAGCGGGGATTGATCCCAGTGGTGGAGGAAGAGGTGGGGAGGGGAAAGCTGATCGACAGGTGCAGTGGTGTTTGATAGGAGGAATAAGTTCTGCTGTTCTGTGTCACAGTGGGGTGGACATAATTCACAATAATGCATTATGTATCTCAAAATGTTTAGAGGAGAAGAATTGAATGCACTCACTGTAGAAAAATGATAAAAATCTAAGACAGATCTAATTACCCCAAGCTGATCACTACCCTATGTATACACAAATCAAAGCATCACGCTGTGCTTCATAAATCATGTAAAATAGTACCTATCAATCAAAAGGTAAATTTTAAAAAGATAGAAATGGCAAATGGTGCAGCATTTTAACTTTCTTCGTTTTACTTACAAGTTATAGGCAATAGTGGTACATTTCTCAAGTCAGTTATCAGATCGGCCCTTGAACAGCAAGTGCACCCCTTGAACGGACACAGAACTGGGATGTACAGAAATTGAATGCTTTCCAGCTGCTTCTGCTACAGCCAGGAGTGTGTGCAATGGGGTGTCAGAGTTGAAGGCGAGGAAGAAGAAATCAGATCAGCTAGGATCAGCTTTTGAGCAATTGTAAGGAACATTTAAAGAAAATGGAAACTTTCTCTCCTGAATGAAGGCCATTTAAAATGGGGAAATGTCTACATGCAGAAACAGATCCCTAGGAAAAGAAACCCACATTCAGTTTTCACATAAAACCCTTAGACCAAACTTAGATATAAGGTGGGCTTCTTGTCATGGGAGGCCCTTTAGAAGTGGGGCTGCTCTGGGAAGCAGGTGGGCTGGGAGCTGCTGGGAGGCCCAGGATGTCCTGTTTCTTGATCAACGATTATGACATGGGTGTGTCCAGTGTGTGAAAATTAATCCAGTGGTGTATTTTTCTATTAAAAAATCAAAATTAGTTAAAACCAAATAAAACATTAAAAATGTTACCTTCTGTCAGCTTTTTGTTTTTGAACAAAGATTGACCAACTGATGTGTGGAAAAGAGAGAGAGAGAGAGAGATGGTTTTATGAATAAAGAGATAAAATAAAACCTCCAACTCAAATCAGTGATCTCTTTGGAAGGTCTGTGGCATATACTGCTCTACAAGCTGGCACTGTGTGCTTTGCAGTGGCATTTTCAGGGTGTTCCATCCAGCCAAAGTCACTGGCACGGTAGGGCCCGGCCTAACTCTGCATCTGAGCAGAGCCTTCCCGCTTGAGTGGAGCTGACAGCACTTTGGCAAAGGAGCTAAGGTTCTCTTTTTGGATCTTGCAGGAGAAGAGCAAGTTTTGCCAAAGCAGCTCTGCCCCGGGCAAGCTGTGTTTGACTAACAGGACTCCTGGGGGCTGGAGCTGCCGCCACTGGGCTTGCTTCATGGGCAGTCTTCCTGCTAAGTCAGAAACTCTGCACCCTGGAGATGCCTGGACACCTGTCTCCTTCTACAAATTACTCTTTCCCTATGGCAGTCGAGTCCTGGGTATTGAATGAAAAATCTAGAATGCAAAACTGCCAACCTGGCATCCTCCTCTTCAAGGGAACTGAGGTGTCTCAAAGATTTGTCCTTTCTATTTCACAATGTGGTAAAGCCAATTACATACATCTCTGCCTGGGACTAAAGAGTGCTTTTGTGGGAATGATCGAGTGGGGAGCTAAATACGACTATTAAGTAGATAGAAAAAAATAGAACTTTTCCTTCCATGTGTCTCTGTTAAACGGGGAATTTGCCTTTGAATTCAGTCCCTGGTGGTTCTCAGTCATAAACACTACCATGTAACAAATCCGCTGGCGATCTCCACAGAGACATGTGTACGCCTATATAAGCAAATGTGATCATTAAATGATACACACACTGAATAATGATCAAGGAATTAAGAGATCTTAGAGATGGCAGCCTGGAAAGTTAAAATGTCAATTCTGAGCAAATTAAAAGCAGCTAGAAACGAATAACATACAGATGAATGCAAAAGCAACTTAATTTAAACATATTAGCGGGTGGTGAGTACACAAATTAGAAGCAAACTTCATTTTGCACACAAAAATAAAAAAATACATTAATCAAAACATATTGTAACTGTAAAATATGACATTTCGGCTGGACTACTGCACTGGGCTCAAATAGAAACTTTTTTCCATGGGACGTATTATAATGGTCTACTTTAAAATAATAAAACATTTTTGCTATTTCTGCTTTTAGCAAAATAATGTAGTGTATTACTAACATAACTAATATTTCATTTAGATATTAGAGCATATTAGTAGCCAAAGAGGCCAGTTCCAAGCATAATATTTCACTAACACACATGTGATGAGAGGACATTCTCTCTTAGCGCTCAGCTCCAATGCCCGTCCTGGAGCTGGCAAAGGCTGTAGCAAATTATTATTTTAAAAGCGAGTCCTTTACCAACTACCCAGGAACGAGGTAGTCATTCTTCTCGGTGAGGATCATACTTGTGTGTCTATGGATAGTCCAAGACATGGGAATTGCAATTCTAACAACTGGTCTGCATGAAAAATTAGACTCTCGTTCATTTTGGAAACTTCTGAAAAAGGAGAGTTTTCATTTAGCTCGCACTTTTAGCGCATGGAATTAAAGCATCCCCATCTACTCCCTCCTGCGGTTCAGTGTCACAGGTGTGTGCACTGTGCCATTTCTAGGGATGGGAGTGGCGGGGTGAAGTCATCCTTCCTTCTTAGAATTAATTCTAATCAAGACGATGTCTCCGGGCAGGTACAGCTGTGTCTTCTCTCAAAGATATCTGCTTTAAGTTTGTGGCTGAGGGTACAGTTTTACATGGACAACACTTCCTACTTTTAAGAGCCATTTATTGTGTAAATATACATAATGTATCTTTGCTCTTTGTGGTTTGGGTATGACAGCCTCTTTTACTGTCTGTGCTTGGGTCTAATCCCTATATTCAGTCATTGACTCTCTTTGACACCTCTGTGGCGTCTACAGTGACTTTTTAAAAAACCCTTCTATTAATTACCCTCCTCCAACTTCCTTTTCCATGGACAGTTAATACCACAGGTGTGCTTTTAAAAATATCCATTCATGAGCTGTATGTAGACCTGTGCTTTATATATAAAAAGAGTAAGGTCTCTCTCTACCCGGCCACACACCAATTTTTCCCAGTTTGGGGGCTGTGAAATGATCAAGACTGCATTACCTACAGAATAAAGTTCCAAACTTCCTGGGATTTAAGAATCTTCCAAACATCTCTCTGAGGCTTGCCTCTTCCTTAATGTCCCTGCTGGCCTAACTGAACACTTGCTAGTTCTCACCTCTGCTTTAGCTCGTGCTTTTGCCATCTTCCCCACCACGTTGAAACTGTGCTCTCCTCACCACTTCTTTCATAACCCCTCAGTGGAAGTCCATTCCTCTCTCTTCTAGGCTCTTCACAACTCTCTGTGTATTATTTATGCATGGGTATACTGGTAAATAAGCCATTCTTATGTGCAAGTTGTTCAGACCCAATGAGCTCGAAGTCCTAATCAGGGAAAGGTATCTCTTTCACTTTCTAATCTCCATAGTTCTCCTACTATGTCCTTACCCTGCACCCTGTATCTTGTATATCTGCTAAGCCTGGGGCCATTCCAGGCGAGAGGTGGTCATCCAGGCAATGGTGACCAGATGGGTGTATGAGGATGGATAGGAAGAGTCTCATTTCTGGGACCGTTAGCACTGGAAAGCTCTGGCTAGCCAAGGTCCTTGCTTTATGAGGGAGGAGTTTGAGTCTCAGAATGGTCAACTGAGAGAAGATCTTAATCCAGAAAACCTTGTGGAATAAGGGCATCTGACCAGTTATGAGCAGAGTCAGGAGTTCTGATCACAAGTCTAATGCCTGTCTATTTCACACTGGACAGCTACAGTATTGCTCAGTGTCTCTGGTCAGATGTTTATTATCATCCAGTTATTCACATCCTTGGCAATCTGGAAAAGGATATTATTTTAAAAACACTTGCATAGGGGCTGGGGATTTAGCTCAGGGGCACAGTGCCTGCCTGGCAAGCGCAAGGTCATGAGTTCGATTCTCAGTACCAGAAAAAAACCAAACCAAAACAAAACAAAACAAAAAAAAACAAATAAAAACACTTGCATATGCACCACTCTGGCACAGGGGAATAAAATGCATTTTTGGAAATGAGCTCTGAGGCTGTGGCTCAGCGATAGAGTGTACTAGCATATACAAGGCCCTGGGTTCAATTCCCAGCTGAAATGAGAAGAAAAAAAGAAAAAAGAAGAAGAAAAGAGGGAAGTGATGAAGCTGGATTTCACAGGGTGCATTTGTCAAGAAGCAGCATTTATTGTCACCTGGTAGGGCCATCCTAGCCTAGAAGGGGTGATTATGAAGCCAAGGATTCCCTGTACCTGGAGATTTTCATGGGAGACCAAGTGACCATCTGTCAGGAAAAGGGCCCTGGGGTTAGGGGAAGACACTGACCCAGCAGGACTGGGTTAGACACGTTCTAGAACTTCTATCTTCAAGGCCGTTATGAGTTATTGACAAGGAGCTGACAGAAAACAGCAGGTGGGAATGTTGTCCCCTTGCTTGTGGGGACCGGAAACTCATACTCCGGGGTCCCACGAAGGTTGCAGATAACCTGCCCAACTTGGGTGGTGGTCCACGACCTATGCCGATGAATGCCCCTGACAGTACTGTGGGCTGCGGATGTCATGGCCCACTCGGACTTGTCTCTGAGACACTGGGTATCTTGTATGTGCTACCAGCCATACACTGACATTTTCCAGTGATGTACAAAGACTCCAACCATGGCTGCAGTTGGCTCAACAGCAATGGAAGCACAGCCCCTCCTCTCTCCTCAGAGATGGAAGGCTTCCCTCAAGAGGAAGACAGCCACAGGGTTTAGCTCTTCTACCCATTGAACCAATAGTATTGTATCAAGCCCAAAGATTGTATCTCTGTATTCTCCTCCAGGGTCATATTGTGAAATAAGGAAATCTGAAAGATAAGTAATCCTTTTCATTCTATTTTTATCAAACTCAGCACATGGGTAGCATTTTCTTGTCAGAATGCTGTTTTTCTTTAACATTTTCAGTCCCAGTTATTTTGAAGCAAGCTTTACGTTGCACTTCTCATTTTACCTGTAATCAGGTGCCTACATTCATGACACCTGAAAAACGGGAAAACAGAACTATTTGCAGACAACAGTTGTTTGAGAGAAAGGCCATGTGTGTGTGTGTGTGTGTGTGTGTGTGTGTGTGTGTTGGAGGATAATGTGGCAAAAATTGAAAAAAAAAAAAAAATTAGTGAACTAAATTTACCTAAGTCGGATTCTTGTTTTTGGGTGAGCGTGAAAAAGATGCCAAAATGGTTGTTCTTTACTTGGACAAAAATCTAAGGAAAAAGATGAAGTTCTGCTTCTTTACCAACATTCTCCCAAGGATGCTGACAGAGGAAAGTCTGTATTTGGTTGGGTTTTCTTTATGTGGCAGGAGTCACAAGAAGGTGTATTCCTCTTAGCACACATGCACGTCCCCAAACGCTTTTTTGTATCTTCCACGCAGTGTCTTTCTCCAAAGCTGTCTCACAGCATCCCCACTCCACTTACAAATCAGCTAAAATATGTGGGACTTAACTCTAAGTTAGCTTAGGTTTGAGTTGGCCATTTCAAAACTCTCTACCTACTCCCAACAGGCATGTAAGATTCAGTACAAACTGAAAAACACAGTCAGACTCACTAACTCACGGTACAGTTATGCACAGTTTGCACAGACTTATTTAAAAAACAGACACATGTACATAATTTCCAGGTGATTTTCACAGCTCTTATTCCTTTATAAAAATGTAGATCTTTCTAATTGAAGAGGTCCATAAGTTCAGTTTCTTTTCATCAGTAAAAATCCCCCCAACAAAACATTCCCAGACTATGTCTTCCAATTGTGAAAATGATTTTGATTCTATCTTTACTTCTGATAGTACTAAGAATATTTAATGCTTCCAAAGGAATAGCAGTCATATGTTTGGCTTCTGAAAAATTTAACAGATTATAAAATGACTTTCATGACATTATCACAGATCTTCATGACAATTCTCAGATCCTGGGTAGGGACTTTTTCAAAAACCAGTTTTGCAGATGAGCAAACAAGTTCAAAGAGATTAAAACCCTGCCTTCTGGCTGGTAAAGGGAAAAGCAAACCCTAAATCTAGGGCTTTTCCAGGAATAGTGAAGGGTAGCAATCATTTCTTTCCCATGTGTGTTGGCAGTAGTACCTTCCGCATTTAAACTCAAGGAAGTAAATGCTATTTCAAGACCACTGCTATTTCAAAATGTGAATATTACTCATTTATATCTTTTCCTTTTCAAAGCTATTCTCCAAAGCACGACTGATTTGATTACCGTGAGTAGTTAATAAGAGATGGAGCCCTTCATTATGGGACCTGGTTCTATACTCAAAAGTTAAAAGTCAACAACAGGCCATTATAAACCTGAGCAAAATAAACTAAAATTTAGACTTCTTAGTACTTGAAAATAAAGAGCTACTATCTATTAACCTTCTCTTAGCAGGGCAAGGCAAATCTCTTGTGGCTCAGTTACAGAGAAGGCAGAGAAAGGTACACATCTACTATTAGAGGGAGGCTCTTGAGTCATAAAACTACTTAAAAATAGGGCACAAGTCAAGGCTTCCAAATTGAGGAACAGCCTTCTGAATATGTGTTCTTAAAACTCGCTGGTGCTTCTCCTCATTTGCTTGCATTGGTTGCTATATCCCAAAGATGCAAATGAGGAGAGAGAACAGAATGATTTTCTTAAGGGGCTAGGGTGGACAGAATAATGGAGCAGGACAAAACGAATGCTAGGCTTTCCTAGAGCTCTCCGACCACACTGAAAGACTCTACATGTTCCAGAGAAAGGAATCTGAGACCCCGCTCTGGCAGCCCTAAGCTCAGGTCCCTTGGCTGAGCTGGGGATGAGGCTGCCACTGAATCTGCCAAACACTCTGAAATGGGCCCTAAGCTCTGCCACGCAGTTGTGGAAATTAACAAACTCGCAGCTCTCAGAAATTCCCGTGACTTGACCTGCAGGAGATAACCCAAAAACACATGCCTACTGTAGTCAGCTGCATCTAGGAAACCCAGGGCTAACAAGATTCTATATTACTAGCTTCTCAGCTTCCAAATGTGCTAATATCCAGACAAGGGAGTGGGTGGAAGGGTGGGGTATGCAGCATTTCCGAAACACACTAGGCCCTGAGAGTCCTTTTCTTTGAAATTATGTTAGAAAGGCTTAGACCCAGGAGTGGCAAACGCAGCCCTGTTTTGCAAATAAAATTTTACTGAAACACAGCTACACTTGTTTGTTTACATACTGTCCATAACTTTTTCTTGCCACAATGTAGAATGAAATAGTTAAGACAGATTATGTGACTTAAAAAAGCCTAAGTGTTTACTATCTGGCTTTTTATAGAAAAAGTTTGTTGACCTTCCCGAAAACCCTACGGAACATACTATAGGAAATATTTCCTGAGAATATTACGGTTTGTTTAAAAGACACAGTATCAGTCAGGCTTATCTCTGTTAATTCTTATTTGTGTTCTGCAGGAAAACAAAGGTTACACTTTAGGAACCATTTCTCACTGCTCCCTGCTGCATCCGGTCAAAGAAGGTCTGAGCACCGCGGTAGGAAATATGTATGGTGTGTGCTCTCTGTCCATATTAACAGTGAAAATCATGTCACACCATTAATCCATATCTGCATGACTCTCCGGCCATCTGTACCCAAATTCCGATAGTATCAAAAGAGGGGTCCTTACTTGACTGGTTCCCATGACTCCCGCTCAAAGCCCCTGTGAATGGATTGTGCAATTGAGGACTCCATCAAATCCACATATCTAACAACAAGTGGGGCAAACAGGTCTTGCAGGTGCTTGTGAAATTTTCCGTTGCGCAAATTATCTAGAACAGATAAGCAAAGGCTTGGTCAGAACCCATAGTTGCTTTATCTATGGATTAAATACAACGCACACAAAGAGATGATTGATTTCAGTGTTCAATACCCTGCCTTGAAGGAAGCCAAAAAAACAAGAAGAAAAGAACATGAACGACACTGAAGCTCGTGTTAAATTTTGTTTGCAAGGGGAATGGAATTAAAAACACTTTACCCTTTTGAGCAATTTCTTTCCCTTTCACAATGTTTGTCAATCTTACATGCCTATATCTGGTAATCTGAGCAACTACTTTGAAGATAACAATATGCAGTATAACAACCATCGCTAATTTCCTACCATCTTGTTTTGAAATCGTGTATCACTTTTATTGTTTTTTTAAATTATATTAAAAAAAGAACACTTTACCCTTTTACTTCACTTTTCTAGAAGGAAAAACAATCATGCTCTTTGCAAAAAACAACAATCCACACCATTGTTTATGTTTTCTTTGTATCCACTTCTTTCCCTCTCATTAAGTTAGCGGGAAGAGGGAACATTCTCTCCTCGTTCTCCTCCTTCATTGCTCTTCCTGGGAGGGTCTACTTTATGGCTACTGTTGCTATAAAGCAGGAAGAAATGCTTGCAGTGTGGCCCAGCTAGAAACTGTTTTTCATGTAGAAAGCATCTTCTGATAAAACTTATAAACTGTGAAGAGGTTAAGCTAACTAGTTTGTTCCAGTGCAAATATAATACAAGGAACGGGCCGGACCGCTCTTCTCACGCTGCGCTTGGGTTCTCCTGTCTAGTCAGGAGAGGGCTTCCCTGCAGCAGAGCACTCTCCGCGGGAACACCCATCAGCTGTGAGATTTGGGTGCCTGTGGGAACGTGTGTTTGCTAATAACATAACTTTGAAGAACTCTATCCGACCTGCGGTCTTCTCAGAGCAAAGATCTCTTAGCACTATGTTTATCTGCAGACTATGTAAGAAAGTTCGCATTCAAAGATGATACATACAGTCGGTACGCAGAAAATCATTCAGCAGCTGAAACACTGGAAAACTGTCCCAGGTGTCTGGGGGCTGCACCTCTAGGGCTGCGTCCATGTCCACCGCAAAGAGTGACAGGAACGTCTCTGCATGCTCCACCATTAAGTCTGACCACCACGCAAAGGCCTTTGAAATTTGGCAGAAAAACAGCAGAGAAAGAGGTAATGAGCTTCTTCCCCGGACATGGGACACGAGCTGCAGCCCTCACTGTTCGGACGGGTTGGGCATCCAGCGGGGTTGGGCCATTTTATTGTAAAGAGAACAGCATTCTGGGTACAGATGGGACTCTGAGCCCAAGATGGGGCTCTTCATGATTCCAGGCCTGCCACAGAGAGCTTTTTTCTGACTTGTAGGTCAGAGGATGCAGCTGCAGAAATGACAGATGTGGAACTTCTGTTCAATTTACAATAACTCAGTAGGTTTTGAGTCATGCTCTGTATCATTACTGTGGGCTAGTTCTTGCTCTAAGGTATTGGAATTTGGGAGTTTCTTCACTGTGTTTATGGGTTTTCTGCTGGTCTAACTTGAAAATTTGCGATTATTGTTCACTTGTAGCTACGTAGCTGGGGCTTGACTGTCTCTGGTCTTACACAAACTCAGGGACTCACGTCTCCCTACACAGTGGGAACCTTACTTCTACTTCACACTAAGTCAGGGGAAGCCATTGTTGCAGTCGCCACAGAACTTTTGAGGTGAAATCTCTTTCTGCAAAGGAGCTTTGGGCTTACGTCCACTCTGGAGGAGAGGTCAGGCTTAGGCTAGGAGACACCGAGTAAGATCAGGACTTACGTTGCTGGGGGTTGGACACATATGTACATTGAAAACCAAAAAATATCAGTGAAGTAACTCATTTGCATGCACGTGAGCCCTTAAAAATCATTGTGCACGGTCTCAGGGGCGACATTCACATCAGACTGGGCCAGATGTGAATGCAGTTCCAAGGCAGGCATGCATGTCGACTAATCATTTCTGGCAGGGAGCATGCAGAATGAGTGGCGGTGTCAACAGGCCCTGTTTGCTGATTTCAAAGAGAGCAGTAAAATAAAAACAAACTGCCAGCCTCTTCTTGTCCCCCACCTCCCCATTCAATGCTGTGAAGTATTTACATTGGAAACGCTTTCCGGAGCATTCACCAAAACGTGATGGGAAGGCATTTGGAAACATGAAAGATGACTATGGAAATAATTCCATAAATGAAAGGGTTTGTTCAATGGCCAAGCTCTTCTGTGATCTAGTTATCGAAGGGGTATTCTAACAGCCACTAGGAGGCAGAATAGGGTCCACCTCTCTTCTTTCATGAGATTTCACTTTACTTACTTCTCCTTTATCAACATGTGGCTGGTTTGCAAATTAAATGGAAAAAATCAAGTCATGGACCATTCTGCAAGGTCTGCTTGGCTGGAAATAGACACCTGCTGCTTCCATTTTAATTTACAGTAAAACCTCACTGATTCAGAGTAAAGGGAAGCTAGAAACGCTGGTCTGTCAACAAAAAAAGCCTAAATTGTTGAGCTTTCTGAAAAGAGGTATCATTTTACTGCTCTGAATGCAGTCCTTAAGGGGAACCCAAACTGAAGAGTATTCGTAGTGTTCATAATGTCACAGTGGTGAGTCTGTGTCTGAATCACATGTGGGTAAACTTTTTAATACTGATAGCTGTAGCTAAGTTGACTTACAAATTGAAGTTAAAAGAGAGAAGACTTAATGTCATAGGTTTTGGGTTGGAAAAAAATACTCGATGCCTCTAATGTGTGTGAAGAACCTTTTGGATTTCAAGAAAGAGTTGAGATCATGTCAGAGTTATTTAAAAAAATTAGAAAAGCTCTCTCTGCAGTTAAATTATCTGCAAGCAAAGTGTATTTGGGTCTGAACCAGTGAGGTTTTATTGTAGATTTACCACCCTGGGGCCGGGGGCTTCATCCACTGCCTCCTTGGTTAAATCCAGCAGAGAAAGAACTCCTCCATCCCGACCCCCAGAGCTTTCTCGGCTCTTTGCCTTTCAGGTAGAGACAATTTGATTACTGGAATTTATTGGAGTCCCACTCCCACCCCTAGCCCTATGTGGGAGGCTGAATCTTGTCAGCCCTGATGCAGGATATTTGTAGAAGTCACAGGAGCACATTAAATGTTGGGTAGTACTTATTCCCTCCTTTTTTTTTTTTTTTCCTGTTCTTTTTGGTTTTTTTGAGACAGGGTCTCACTATGCAGTCCAGGCTAGCCTTGAACTCACTATGTAGCCCAGGCTGACCTTGAATTTGTAGTAACCCTCCTGCCTCAGCCTCCTGAGTACTAGGATTATAGGCCTGCATCATTACGCCCGGCTAGTTCTTAGTCTTGAATTAAAGGATTAACTTCCTATCTTCAGGATGAGTCCCGGAAAACAGTTACTGGGAAGACTGTGCCACTCTCCCAGACGTGATTTTGCTCTAGGATGATGGGAAAAAAACAAACCAAAACAAAAGCCAACCACAAATGTCTGAAATTAAAAATTTCTTAGTCCAACTTCAGATCTGGTTCTTACCAGCTTTTTAATTTAAAAGTCATAAACCAGAGACCTTAAGAAGCACCACATCTACCATCTGTAGAGAATTTGGTCCCTTGTTGTAATTTAATGTATTGCTGAGTAAGTACGTACAGTCCCTGCAATAATAATCATCAGATAGGTTGGTAGCTCTTTCATTTCTGCGTTAGGCGTTACCAGTATGGGACCTGGTGGATGAATTCAGAATTCTGGTGAACCAAGAGAGTTCAAATTTGGGGCGTGTAGAAGTGAAAACTGAGCTATTTCTGGCTATCAAAGGTAATTCTTTTCAGAGCCTTAAAATCAAATCTGATTCTCTGAGAAGGAGAAAGATTCTAGCGAGGCAGTAATAACCAAAAAGCCACGGTGTAGACCCAGTTACACGAACAGAGTTTGTGTGACTGGCCGGGCTGGGTAGGACATATATATAAACATATTTAATTTATGCTTGCTCCTAAAGGTGAATGCTATTTTTATAGACGAGGTAATTCACAATGGTCGTGGGTACCTAAAGTCTCAATAAACCTTTTCCAAAGATGATAAGGAGTTACACATTAGCTTCTGCATACTTACCCAGTGCTTTTTGTTATTTAAAGACAAAGTTGTGTGCTTTAGGGTACAGCTCACCACACTGAACACACTATATTTTGCACACAAACTAACATGTATATATGTACCCCTCTGTGTACCACAATACATATATACATATACATACGTATACATAGAGAGAGATTGGGAAGGGGCAGCAACGATACATAAAGGCATAATTCATGTGCATGTGAATAGATCAGGCTCTTAAAACAGAATTAAGTTGCAAGTAAAAGAGAAATGTGACAATTGTTACCATGTACTGCATTGCCTATAGTATCAGGTATTATTGGCTGGTGACAGTCTTTTCTTTGGGGACATTTAATTGTACTGTACAGGAATTAATCATGGCTTTAAAGATTATTATTATTTCTTCCTTTCTTTGCAAGGAAAGGTAAGTCTGCTTGTCACTTTTGTTTGTGTGGTACCAACCAACAATGTCGCCTCAAAGTTAAGATCTGCGCTTAGATCCGAGTGATTTTTTTTAGAGTTTACTGAGCCCCCAGAGTATATAGATCGTAGAAAAAATCTTCTTCATCCTATTTTGAAGGGAAACTCCACCCGCAGGGCTACAGAGTAAATTCTACTTTGGCTGCGGGAGTCCTGTTTCTCTCCACGCAGGCTGTGTACTGGAGTCCCCTGGGAGCTCCTAGTGCTCAGCCTGCTCTGGAAGGTGTCAAGCAAGGGAGCGGAGGTGAGCCCTGGGCTGGCATTGCCAGGACCTCTTCTGGGGCTGCGGTCTGCGAGTGCCAGCTGCGAGCAGGCGGGTGTGTGGTTCAGGACCACTCCACCATGAGAGCAGTCCTTCTTCCTCTGACACCTTCTGTCCATTCTCGTTCATCCGGTACTGTCCACAGAACTTGGTCCTTCTTATCACCAGATCTGTCATACTTTGCTTCCTTAAGAATTTTCTCCCAGTGCCACATCAACTGAGTTTTGTTGAGGCCTTGCTACGTGCCAGGCAAAATGCCAGATGCTCAGCTTCACGTGGCCTTCCAGCCCCATAACGCCACCCTCTGCTATCTCTGAGGGACGGCATCCAGGAAGCGAGTAACCAGCTCAAGGTCATGGAGGAGGGAGGAGGTGAAGCTGGAACTCAGACCCGAGCTTCTCTGGCTCATGGGCTCCCTCCCACGCTGCACCCCGCACTTCCTGCCTCGCTGCTCCTCATAAAGCCCGGAGGGGCTCACTTCAGACCTTCAGCGTGTAGGTTTCAGATAAGTAACAAGGTTTCATGATGAGCAAATGACTAACTTGGGAAATAACCCTATACATTTATCTGAAATAAAATTACTACCTGAAACTGCTGAGTATACTAAAGTTTTCATCACTGGTTTCTAAAGAGGTAATGAGAACAAAATTAAAATTACGTCTAGCTTGTTTACCTTGGGTAAGGTCTGAATACATGAGACTAAAACAGTTGCGGGCACTGTTACTGGGGCCGTGCAGGACAATGATTAATCCTTAGTGCAAAAGGACCCTTTGGAAAGGTAAAAAATATCTTCTTGGGAATAGTTTTCCTCTGGTGCTTCTTTTGAGACGTTTAGGCAAACATGTAATTTTTCTTCACCTGTAGTGGCCTCACATAATAACTTGATTGTAAACTGAGTATATCTGTTGTTTTCCTTCTTCTTTTATCCGCTTAAAAGCACAACTGTGACTGGGAAAACCCGTCTTCTTTTTATCCATGTCTTCAAAAGTGTATGGACTTGGGCAAGGCCTCAAGCTCTCACTCTAGGACAGGCCAGAGCCCTGGCAGCCCTCAGAGACTACACCGGACACCCAGAAGAACACACTTGCGGCTCTTGAACCTCAAAAGCCTCAACTGTACAAAAGAGTAGAAAAAAATCCTAACCCAACTTAGTTTCATGTGTCTGGAAGTTAGTCCTAGGTATGTGCGGTTGGAGGTGCTGGTTTGGCTCCCTGCTTACATCGGCCGTGCAGTGGCAGGGTGCCAAATGGTCAGCGGCACCCTCCTCACGGGGTCGCACCCCAATTCCCAGAGGATTTTCAGGGGATTCGTTATTCTGTGACACTCTCTCTATATATAAATACTGTATATATGACTCACATACAGACAGCTGTAGAGGAAGATTAGTATCACTCCGACGAGCTAAGCCCAGTACTCACTTGCCGTAGTAAAAGGTGAATACAGACGGACATAGAAAACTACCACAGGCTAAGGACAGAATCAAGGCAGGTGGGAGGCGTGTATCAGGATGTAACTGCAGTCGTCGTAACTGTATCAATCGCTTCATGCACGCACAAGAGAATCACCCCACATTTACCCTGCGTGGAGGGCCACCCATGTCACAAGCAGTCCATTGGAAGTTGCTGTTACATTCCTGAGGTCAGTGTGAGGAAGCAGGAGCACCGGGTAGAGTCCCGTTAGAAGACATGGTACTGGAGGGGCATGCACAGAGGATGACAGCAGGTGGCCGCTTTGCTCGGTTTAGTCACATACCTCTTTCCCCTGCCACGATCAGCCAAGATTGAAGGGAACAGTAGAGAAACAGGGAGGAAATTTAAATATGCAATCAGGCATTAGTCGGGATGGCTGGATTTATGGTGTGTTGTACACTATTTAGCTATTGGGTCAACTTTCACTTAGTCATGGGAATGAGAGTTCCAGGTGACTGAGAAATTACTGTGATGGAGTGCCTTTGCCCTCTTTTTCTGTAAATCTGAATGTCAAGGAAGAGGGACAATTAGTGTAGTTTTCCAACAGGTTATTTTAAGAGATGATTTTAAAGCTCAGTTTGAAACGAGCAGTGACGTAAAGGTTTAACCATGATGATCTTTGCTGGGAAGGGCAGGGCTGTGTAAGTTCTTATTGGTTTGGGAGATAGTCGGTCTTGAAATTCTTTAGCTAATAATTGTTATCAGAATCATCATTTTCACAGTGGTTTGTAAAAACAGTGTAAGTTGTATTTATTTGGGTGTATGTTAGAGAACTGACAAGTTGAACAACACAAAATAATTTGCTCTGTCACTACAGCCAGCAGCCTAGGCAATCTAAGTTTAAAACCAATGAAGACTGCACAAGCAGAGTAAGTTACAGAGGTAAATTAAAAAAAGATGGCTTGTGACTCACACACCAAAGAACCAATCAAAACAGCAGTGGTGGTAACAGAAACAACCACAAGAGACCAAAAAAGATTTTGTGCGCTCTGGATGAGGGTGACCAGATATTGTTTGAATAATTGCTTTAAGATGCACTCACCTCCTTGTTCATTGCTAAAAACATCTGAAAAGTTAGGCTGATATGTACAACACGCAACCGCTTTTTGGTTGTTTGAAACAACCTTCCAAAGCCTTCTCCTTCCAAAACTTCCACTTTCATTCTCTTTGCAAGCCCAGTTAAAAGAAAACGGGTGTTAGAGCATCTTATTCACAACCTGATGGACAGAGCCAGCTCGTACTTCAGCTAAGGGTCACTCAGAGACATTTCCCGTGAGACGGCTCACCTCTGCATGGTGCTCCTCATTTTGTTGAAGAACTTCAATGACTAGTTCAGCAAGACGTATTGTATCTTCGAGCTTTTTGGCAGGAGTGATTAACCGGCCTACATTTTCTGTAGTACAAGAATTTGTGTTAAAATTCAGCGAAAGTGGCCCCGCTAGTCTTGTGGCCGTTAGAACTACTGGATAAGAAATTTTGAATAGTTATCAAATTTTAAAAAAAGATTCATGCAAATGTGAAGTGCCATGTAATTAGTAGTGAGCAAACCATAAAGCCATTTTATTGTTATTATCACCATCATTATAATACATAATAGGAAAAAGCAGTGCTCCAGCTTCAAATTTGCATATGAAGCTTCATTAAATCTATGACAGCTCATTTCAAATTTAGTGACATTTTGTATACACGTTCTTTAAAGACAGCATGAGTGTACTATCTCATATCACTTTAGACTGTGTTTGGGCTACCGGATTTGGGACGATGTAATAGAAGCTTAATCTTGATTTCCACTACATTTGTTTTGTAGATTGGTCTCTAAACACTCAACACTATAGCATCCTTTTTCATTACAGGTCTGCATGTTGAACAGGTCTTCATTTGGAAAATGTAGATTCAAAGCTTTGTTTGTTTCTACCTGTCCAGGGAGGAGACTGTAAAGAAAAGCCAGACATTCCTGAGCCATTACGTAGAAGGCAGGATAAAAATATTTAAAAGGGGGCTGGGAATGAATTACTGCATGAAGTGTAGGTAGTTTGGGCCACTGGTTGCTATAATTGAGATTTTAAATCGCAACAATGGACTCATTTTTTAAAAATTTGCATTTAGTTTCTCTTGATCAACAAGGCTTATTTTAATTCACCTGAAGAAGAAACTGAACCGTGGCTTATGTAGCAACCTTCCTAGAGCTGAGCTGATGAATGTTTGGGGAGATCATTAAGTTCCAAAACACTGCAAATTATTTTGCTCTGGGAAAAGAGTACTATTTAAAAAATAAAGGTTTTCTCTGAGTCAGTGAGGTGACCTGAATTTGATTGGTCTGAACTCAAAGGAGAATCTGCATTTCATGCTTAGTTCGTATCAGATGTTGAAGAGTCAGTCAGGAGCACATGACCTCTAGTGGAGATAAGGATCGTTCAGCGTGATTCCGCAGGACAGGTATAAACATTAACAAAAGCGCTGCCGAAATGTATTTTTATCCGAAGCAGGTATGTTTTGACACCACAATGCTTCTTGCTAAAAAGAATTACCTAATACTTCATAGGAAGGTTTTGTTTTGTTGTGGCAAGAGAAATGATTTAAACAAAATCATAGGAGATGAGTAAGTCGAAAAAAAGACCTTATAATTTCACTTTGGGCATTTCTTAGGTAGGTGGTGATAACATATAAAATCATTAGTAATTTAGGGTTTAATTATAATTAAAATTCAGTGAAATGCTTAGTTCCCGCCAATGGGAGCAAAGACTAATCAATGGGGCTGGGTAAGGTTTCTAGGTGGTAAAAGTTTCATTCCAACCTGGCCCAAAGGCTGGTGTGAAAATGAGCTCTGTGGATTGCAGATCAATGGAATCTCCATTGCCTGGTAGCAGTGGGGCCAGATCTTTCCTGAACATGGAGGTCGGAGCTGTGGGGAATGTACGTGTACAGATCAGATAGAGAAGAGCCGACACCCAGCAAGGAGAGGCTGGAGATTAGGTGCCAGCTCATTGCTTGGTCCTGAGCAGAAAATACTTGCAGGAGAAAGAATGAGTGACAAGATTGACTTCTGTGCTTCTTGGGGCACCTGACCTGTTTGTAATTTTGTAAGTGGACTATCATAATTTCATCAATAGACTTTCAGGCATTTCTACAAACATACTGCGTATATATGTTTGGGTAACAGGTGTAGAGTGAGGTATTTGCATTTTGATGGTAAATATGCACACGCTACTATTTTTATTAGTTGATATTCATGTTTACACATCAATGTGCAAATTCCTCATCCTATGCTTATTACCCATTGGACACATACACCCACATACATACATCACACACTTACATACATTTTCTAGTAACCAGACAAGCCTGTACATTAATACAAATCTGCAGGAAATCCCACTTGGGGTACATCTTTGAAATCTCTCAGTTTAAGAACAGACAGCATTGTCCTTTTGGGTGGAACACACACCCAATCTAGGGGATTCTGGTTGTACATGACATACGATATGGAAAGGAAATGATTCCCACCAATATTTTTGTGCACATCTATTTAAAAAGCATGATTGATTTGTACGTTTGGAGAATTCCAAGATGCTTCAGCTAGGACCTCCTGAAGCTTTGTTTTAATATGCAGTGCTCTTGGACTGACTACAATATATATCAATAGATACACATAAGGGGTGCATGAGCATGCACACAGATATGTGTATTCCTGAGGTATATATACAGACAGTATGTTTAATAAAACCATTGACAATGTTACTTTAACACCCAACCATTAGAGTAAGAAGGTTAAGGATCCTTTAATCTAGAACACTTGATCTGCCAATTAACCCCTGTAGCCAGACTTCCATTTACCTTTAATTAGTTGTGAGTCTATTATCTGTTGATCAAGCCACTTCAGTGAGACACAGCAGTATTTTCCCATTCATTTGCATAGCTGATTTACTAGCTAAATGGCAAAAATGTACTAGACGTGATTTCTCTAAGATGTTGTCTTTAAAGAAAATATTGTACAAAATCCTTCAGCACTTCCTCCTTCCCCACCCAAAGAGGTCAAGGAGAAGTTTGTGCTTCAAAATGATTTTTTTTGTCACTTCTGCTGTCTTGAAACATACTGCAATATTCCTATCCCCCAATCTTGCACTAGCTGGAGCACTGACGAAAGGAAACTAAAAATACATTATACTTAAGAAACATTTCGTACAACAGAATTGAAGCTCATAACATATAAAAATTGTCATGCAAAATGTTATGCAACAACGTTATTTTGTGCTGACATTGAGGTTTGAAAATGTTGCATATGTCAGACATAGCTAGACAAAAAATGTGGACATTTGGAAATAAATGCTCTCTTTTGAGTATCTCAGAACCTACAGTATTAAACTCGAGAGCCTGAACCTCAGCTTAGTATTCCAAATGGAAACAAAATTTCAAGAAGAAAAGGTAACAGAAAAGCGAACTAGACTAGAAAGCTGCCGAGTAAAATAACGATAAGTTTACGGTACTTGATCTTGGCCTAGGTATGCCTTTGAGCCTCTGATATAACATGCTGGTCTGCGTTTGGGTGGGTGGAGGAGGAGGCCCGGGAGGCGGCGGGGGAGCTGCTCAGGTAGGTGAAGAGAGACAGTAAAAAAAAAAAGGTAAAGAGACAAGGTGACTTTAACAAAGGGTGACAAGTAAGATGACAAACTCTGAAAAGAACAACTGAACAAGCAAAAGTGACAAAACATGAACGGAGGACTGCTGCTCTCTGGGCATTCTTCCGACACTGCAGAGGTGCGGCGTTACGTGACAAGGACTCTTCTCGGTGTCTCCAGCACGCCCCTACCGAGACACTCAGAGGCTGAATGCACATACTGGATGCTTTGTCCAGATGGATATACCTGAGTGGCGGTGGCAGCAGCACTGAGCAGAAGAAGACACGCATTTATACCATGAAGCACACCTGCATGTTAATAGCGACTTCTTCCTTTCGGATGACCAGAAACAGGACACGATGTGACAACAGCTGGACACTGGGCTTCTCATCCTCCACAGACTACCTGCTTTCTCTGCAACCTTGCACCTGCTGCTAAACCCTATGTGGATTTTTGTTCCCTCACCTACAAACGGAGAGTATTATTATCTTTGTCTGTGTGCCTTGTGGGGTTGTGGACAAAAGCAAATAAAATAAGGAGAGGGGTAGATCCCTGCACAACCTGAGGTGCCCACAAATGCCCGCAAATGTTTAGCGAGAAGGCTGCAATCAATTGCAATTTGCAAAAGCAGACGAAGGACCGTTATTAGATGAAGTGAGCTAGGAAATATTCTTGCTCCCTTTGTGGAATTTCAACATGTCAAAATCTGTCATTTTGGGGAAAAATGTGTGGTATCTGATTGTTTCCAGCTCATTTAATTATTTTCAATTTGGAATTCTTGTGGCTTTTATATTGTGGGTTGAATCATATATAAAAACTTGCCAGCTTATCAAATATGTTACTTGCTATTCCAAATGTTAGAATACCGTAATCAGCACTTGACCCATCTGTCATGTGGCTTACAATATCAGCACTGCAAACATACCATAACAATAGCCTCTCCTCAGTACATGCACAGAGCACCAGCAGCCTCCACAGCCCTCTCTCTTTAATGAGCATCTCATTAACCTTGGACCTGCTCCTTTCTAATAGTTCTGGTAGATAAAGCAGATCTGTACGGCGAGAGGGACATACTCCACTGCCAAGTCTGCTTCTTGGTTTGCTTAAATTTTCAACCGGGAAAATGAGTTTTACTGCAGGCATATAGGAAATGGAATTCTAGTGACATTAATAGAAAAGAGGAGGATATGGATAAATATAATATTCTGGGATAAATATAATATCCCATAGCTCGTCTATTAAAAGCAAGCTTGTTAGGATCCTTTTCTTACTGGACCACCTCAATGTTTTGAATGCAGGACCAAAAAAAATCACTACCAGTTTTTTTTAATTGGTTGGTAAAGAGTGGATGTAAACAGAAATTGGACAATCGCTTTTAAATGATAGTGACTTAAAGGGAGGCAACTGCTGGTTGTTTGACTGTTAGAAGCCCTCCATTGCCTGTATTTTGCTGACAGCCCTGTTGAGTGTTGGGCAGTCTCTGTTACACGTCCCTGTTGCTCTCACAATGAGTTCGTGTTACCTCAGTGGACAAACCTTATGCAAAGTCCTCACCCATTGTCATCGAAGTAACGGATGCGTGCCTGAAATCACCGGGTCTGGTGATGAATAAAGCAATGAAGCATGCCCGGGGTCAATCCATAACCCATGAAGCAGCAGATACATATTTCAGCTCAATGGGTCTTGATGAGAAATTCATAAACGAATTCCCTCCTGCCAACTGTCTGTCCAGAATTCTGACAGTGAGGTTTGCCACCATAGAAAACAAGCTCTCTAT